AAGTTATTACGTTGCTTGAATCCTTTTATGATATTTTTTTCAAAATGAAAGCTCCCTCCCTTTTACCTGACCAGACCCTAAAAATCTGGAAATTTAAAATTTGGAAATATAATAAATAGGTAATAAATGTAATATAATAATAGCAGGGCGGAAGTGGTGTAGTGGCAAGTGGCACGCTCACCACGCGAGCGGTCCGGGGATCAAATCCTGGGTCGTGAGTCGCCCGGGCCAACCAAGCCTTCCATCCCTCCGGGGTCGGTTAATTGGTACCAGACTTGTCTGGGAGGATAAAAACACTGACTTGAACATCGGCTGGCCCCCGCAAGTCATTGTATAGGCCACATCGCATTCAAACGCCACTACGAATGTACAAATGGAAGTAGAATGCGTGCCGCATCCCAAAAAGGGATTGATCAACGGCAAATGCTTTATCCTTTATTTTAATTGTATGCTATTCCAACTGACCAAGCCAAAGTAACCACCAAACTAGGGCCTGGAAGCTTGATATTCTACTCGAAGCCACCATATTGAGCAATGCCAAACACAGAATTTCTGCCTGTTGCCTACCGCTCGCGAATTTTCTTTAGAAAATGCATCGTATTTTCCAGTGACTATTTACCGGAAGATATCAATAGCCACCCTGTGTGTACAGATGTATTACAAATGGCAGGCTAGAGACATGGAAAGCAGTAATGTTTACGCCCAAATTTTGTTCTCCTAGACTTGCTTGACCCCACTTGCCTCAGCCCGTCCTATATTTTATACGAATGTGTTTGGAACAGAAAGAGTTTCAAATTATCGCTTGTTTATTGACTTGGCGTCAAAGTAAATAGCGCGAGAGCAAACACGCTCAATTAACCGTGAATTGAAGTGGGGGCAAAGGAAAAACTGTAAGAAAATGCTTTGAAAACTTGAAGACGCACCAAAATTTAAATGCCATGCCTGCAACTCTCGCGGACAAAGGCACCTTATTGGTATTACGCCGCCTGTCGGATCACTCTCCGTCGGCGCAGCTAGCTGAAATTCCCAATGTGATTGTGAAAATTCAAACAATATGGAATATTATCAAGCACAGCTTAGGGAACAGAACGTGGTCAATTTCCAACGACGTTGTTACTGGCGCGTAACATGACTCTATGGAACCTAATCACACATACAAAGAGCTGCCACAGGGCACTAAAGAAAGCAGTTAACAGGAACCGTTAAACGGTCCATAAAGCTAAGAAAAGGTTATGATACTTCATCTGTCTCGTCCTTAAGTTTTGCACACCAGTGTACGACCACGTGGTTCGCCACCTCTGCGATGGCAAGGATCCCTTGCTCACAGGAACAATATTTGCGATTCTAATTCAGTTGAGCTAGTAGTCCACTGGTCAACGACGGCTCAAGATAGAACATCGAGGAAAGAAGTTGGGACCCGCGCAAAAAAAAATCGCAGCTTGATAACGGGTCGCCAGAGTAATCCAAGTAAGTAAAGTAATGACTAACCTTGCGCTTTACACTGATCTTCCGCTCTTCCTTTTTACCATCAACGACGATAATTCCACAGAGAATGATATCATCTTCGGGCTGAGGATATACGTACCTTAACAGGGTTGAAGTCATTTCAGGTATTAAATTTGGAAAAAACTGCTTATTTACTGATTACTGGCAATAGAGGGAGGTGTTTGAGCCAGAGCCAAACGGTCGTTGGATCCACGAGAACGGGTCGTATGTTGTGACTCTGGAAGGGAGAGACAGTACGAAGAACAAGTAGGCGAGATAGGATGCTCCCGAAATTTGCAAGAAAACATTTATGATATCCCTCCGTCACCCTGTCCGCTCGAGCCGCATTTTTCAGGTTTTTTCTGAAATTTAAACATGTGTCGGGTGAGGGGAGTATCTGTAACTGTGAGACCAGCTATTTACTAATAACTGAGAGTGATTGCGAGATTGTGTAGTGTAGGAACCTTTCGAAGTATGCAGGAGGTAGTTAGGTTTCTAAGTTTTCTCACAAACCAAGCTACCTCGCTTGAAGCCGGCTATAAGTAAAATTTGGGGATCAATCAATTCAACACTAGTTATTGACTTGAAAGTAATGAACAGAGAAAGTTGCCTACACCCAAAATATTTTATTTACTATAATCACGGTAAAAGCTTCTGAGGCCGGCACTCCCACCCCCCCCTCGCTCTCCCCCTCGCTTCGTCCCGTCCGTTTTGGTACCACACAGGTGAACAGACTAAAGGTGATTTTCAAAAAGATTTGCCTGGCCTAGCTTCACCCTGCTCGCTTGTAGCCTGTTGAGGCTCATAGAGGATCCCATTCTAGACTCACCTAGCTGGGCCATGATAGCTTGGAGGCAAAAAGTGGCCCGTCAACCGATCGGTCCAAGACGTCTGCGAATGGACCTTTCAAAGGGCGGCGCCTCCTCACGATGAGGTTTTGGAACTGTCAGTCAGCCTTTTTTGCCAAGTTGCATCATTTCCGTGCGACACCACACTTCCCTCACACTGTTCACCAAGTTTGTTGCAACCTCAAGTTTAGCGGCAATTCGACTCCCACATAAGCGAGAGCGAGACGCAGACCGGCAGAAATTGAGCTGGAAAGGCGCAAGTTCATACAACGCTTGTCGTATTCGGCCGTATAAAAAAGACATAGAATTCTTTTTTCCTTTGTATTGGATTCTTTTTTTTTTTTTTTTTTTTTTTTTTTTTTTTTTTTCCTTTTTTTTTTTTTTTTTTTTTTTTTTTTTTTTTTTTTTTTTTTTTTTTTTTTTTTTTTTTTTTTTTTTTTTTTTTTTTTTTTTTTTTTTTTTTTTTTTTTTTTTTTTTTTTTTTTTTTTTTTTTTTTTTTTTTTTTTTTTTTTTTTTTTTTTTTTTTTTTTTTTTTTTTTTTTTTTTTTTTTTTTTCTTTTTTTTTTTTTTTTTTTTTTTTTTTTTTTTTTTTTTTTTTTTTTTTTTTTTTTTTTTTTTTTTTTTTTTTTTCTTTTTTTTTTTTTTTTTTTTTTTTTTTTTTTTTTTTTTTTTTTTTTGTAAAACGTGTAAAAAATTCTGAATGCAAAAGAGTTCAGAGAGGGGCCGACGAATAACTCCCACGAAATGGGGAATTTGAAAGCAATTTTCACGTGAGATTTTGGGGCTTTAACAGACAAGTAGTATCATCCAGCCAGTGGAAACTCACTTGCACTTCTCCAAACTGCCATCTTCTTTTGCTTGTTTGTACTTTTCACACGAATTATTTACGCATAGCGTTGTTAACAGTATGATGATGGGAAGAAGTATGAGGGCGATGAGCACGACGAATCCTTAAATATTTTTCCGTCTCAATCATGAAGGAAAAATTCAAGGACATCTGCCGGGATAAGAACGATTTCTTATGTCTCAGAAATGATTATTCGCAGACCATTTTTTCCATTTTTTGTGCTGTTTGCCCCGGGTTAATCGCGACATGTAGCATTATTGTGTTAAAGATTTCGCTGAGCCATCAACGTTGGACGGGTTTTCGGTACGATCTTACTTTATGACAACACGATTCCTTTGGGCTGTGAAGGGGAACAGGGTCAAAGGATAACCTTTGAAATTTTCCAGCACATGATTGAACCTAATTCTATTTCACCCCCTGTCTTGCACGGTCGCGCTAACCACGCAACCTGGTAATCTTTCAATACGGGTCTTACGCGGAGGACACGACACTATCCAACGTCTGCAACATACCTTCATTGAGCTGACACTGGCACACAACACCGATGCCACTGTAGATCACGTAGATAGCGAAGAAAACCGAGCCGGCAACGAACCCCAACGAGAGTGCCGCCAGCAGCACCATACCCACCCATTTGAGCAGTAGTAGCCCGAAGATGAGTACGCGAGATCCATACCATTTCATGTAAGTTTTCACTGGTTCCTGAAAACCACTGAATCAGCACTCTACAGTATAACCTTTGAAGGTTCAAATGTTTCGAGATCAGAATCTGCAACAGGACTTGGTTGCTAAACTCGGAAAGGAAACGATAGCGCAAAAGCAGAAGGAAACGGTAGCGCAAAAGTAACATGTATCGCTACCGTATTCGGATAACCCTCAGTAATTGGATTGATTTACAGGTTGACAAAAGATTTTTTGCCTTAGGGTTAATGCATGGTGGCAAGGTTAATGCATGGTGGCAGACTTCACCAGGACCTAATGATAATCTACAACTATATCTACAACTTCACGTCGGATGTCCCAGTAAGTTCATGAACATTCCAAATACGGAAAAAAATCTTCCAATGGAAGTTCCACGTCACGCGAACGGGCTGCTAGATACTGACCGTATCTCTTATAGTTTCAGTAGTTTTCGGATAGAACGGTAAACTGCGATCATAACCACGCTACCGTAACCCTTGAAGGTTATTCCCGCCATCTATGGAGAACACTATCAAACCGGTTTTCTTCCCAGCAGACTTTGTGGCATAAGTTATCTTCATCAAGTTTTTTACTGGTTCCTTAAAACCACTGATTCAGCACTCACAGCTTTACCTTTGAAGGTTCAAATGTTTCGAGATTAGAATCTGCAACAGGTCTTGGTTGCTAAACTCGGAAAGGAAATGATAGCGCAAAAGCAGAAGGAAACGGTAGCGCAAAAGGTGAAAACGTCCTAGGTTCGGGTGGGGCACTCATTTTTTCGCCTAGATACTCAAGATGACGGCATCAGAGGGCTCACGAATACTTTATACACTCCTTTAACCCTTTCCGGACCGCCTGACACACATGGTGTGTCAGGAACTTCAAGAGCTGATTTTTCCAAGAGTTTGGTTTTTCGATAAAATATTTTATGTTGTTACATACCTATGTAACAGACTCATGCCATATGTATGAAAAAACCTAGACTTTAGGTTTAATCTAGGTTCTAAAATAACCAAAGAGTAAATGGACTTCCACTTTGGGCTCAAAGAAAACAGTTGTAGTTTCTTGCTTGAAAACACTTAAAAACGAAGAATTTGTGAAATATCCTGCTCGTCGTATCTGATTCTTATGGATCCAATCGTTTTGGGCACGTTCTACTCCCTTTTTCTCCATACCAACTTATTTTGAACAATTTTCGTCCCTTCCTCCCTTTTTATGGCCCTTTCCCTTTTTTTGCAAAACAGTTTTCTGTCAAATTAATCTTATATATTCTTCGAGACATGACAAAGACATAAACGAGACAAAATAATGGCTTTAGTGGGAATACAGATTAAATATATGATATTTATGCTTGCCGCGCAGCATGCGGCCGTGAGCGCAAAAAGTGCGCGGTCCGGAAAGGGTTAACTTATTAAAGTAGACTTCTGATAAATATTGGTGGTAATGGGTGAGAAACCCTGAAACGTTTTCACATTTCCGCCTGCCATGACCCAAGGGAACGGTCCTGGACCAGGAGAAAGGACACCTCCGCAAAGGGCTAAGGGTGCAGGAGCTCCAGGGTGGATCACCTGTGCAGAAAAGTGGATGGGATGTGGGCAGGTAGTGTGGAATGTAGGACATCCACCGGTCCTTATCAAAAGTACGCTCGAAATGAGTCGTTCACTTATTATCTTATCCGTAGTGTTCGATAGCCCAAAGAACTGCTCTCTAGTACTACGGATAAGATAGCAATGGAGTGCCCCCCCGAACTGGAGTTTCACCCGCCAACAGTATTAGCGGATCGCGACTGGTTCAGATAACCCCTCAGTAATTGGATTGATTTACAGGTTGACAAAAGATTTTTTGCCTTAGGGATTAATGCATGGTGGCAGACTTCACCAGGACCTAATGATAATCTACAACTATATCTACACTTCAAGTTGGATGTCCCCGTAAGTCATGAACATTCCAAATACAGAGAAAAAATCTTCCAATAGAGGTTTCGCGTCACGCGAACGGGCTGCTAGGTACTGACCGTGTCTCCTATAGTTTCAGCAAGGAACAGCTTCCGGATAGAACAGTGAACGGGTCATAACCGCGCTCAGTAACCTTGAAGGTTCCACATTATGGAAACAATATCAGACCGGTTTTTTCCACGCAAACTGCTGTGCATATACTTATCTCCTGAATACGAAGACAACTTTCTTGTGTGAACTTTTCTTCTTTTAACTGCGTTTGAAGGGAATATGGTGAGTTTATGCTCGGGGTGGTTTGGTATCAGGCGCAAAGTAGCGGAGGAAAACCATAGCAGTAATGCCCGTTCAGGGTGATTTTATACAAAAAGGCATTACCGTCTCTCGGAATTGCTGACGTTTCTGGTTTCTACATCCCTCCACTCCAGTGGAGAACTGCCCTATTCCCAGCCACATCTTTGTAAAGGAGAGAGAGGGAGGAAAAAACAGATTACTGCCATCTCAAGCTGCATAACGTAACTATAAATGTGCAGGTTTTTTAGCAAGCGCTTTTTAAACATATTTTTCGATAAGCAGGAGCACGCCCATGACGGCTGTCTATTGAAATAAGAAGATATGGCCTGCTTTGGGCGATATTCGCCAACGAGCGCAGGGAAGACCTGTCATAATTGCTCCCTTCTCATGGCTTTATGATCGTGCAGGATTTTTGATAGACAGTGTATTATGTGACGCACACAGAGAGATACCATCTTGGAGAATAATAACTTTGTTCTTGCAGAACAACTGTTGTCGCCGTGAGATGAAAGCCACCAACTCTAATTGAAAAACTTTTTGGGGAGATGCCAAGTTGATGTTGTTATGCCATACAGGCTGATACAGTGCAATAGATTTATTCGACGTTTCGAACAGTTCGTCATGTTCAAGACCTTACTGCTACCCTATCAGCCCACTTACTTAGACTTAGACTTAGTTCCTCCCGTGCTGGAGAGCACATCGGGCGACGAATTCTTTCCACTGTTGCCGGTCTTGTGCAATCATTTCTCCTTCATTCCTAGAAACATTCATGATCTTGAAATCATTCTCGAACGTTCGTCTCCACGTGTTTCTGGGACGGCCTCTTCCTCGCTTGGCGCCTGGAGGTATCCAGTTCATGGCCACCCTTGGAACTCGTTGTTGTGTCATGCGCAAAATATGGCCAGCCAGTCGAAGCCTACGCTGTGCCACAACCACGTGGAGGCAATTCGAGCACAACAGCGTAATATCAGCACTCATTATACGAAGGGAGATAGTGTTGAAAGAATTTTTGAGGGAAATTGCAGGAAGGCTCCCGTTGTTCCCTTTCAGCCTATCTCGGCTTTGTACTCTGTTGTCAAAATGCAAGCGCTTCATTGCACCTCCACGATTCTGGATGCCGAGTGCATTATGTTTCCAGGACAAGGCCACCACACTGGATATTAAAGTAATTGTTAAGTTCGTCATACATAATTGCCCATTCATACAAAGTTCATGCATGAACATAAGGTTCTCGAAGATAATCTTCAAAAACCACACTTTGTGACAGCTCTTGGAAATATGGGCGGGGCAAAGGAGTGCACGGAACGAAGCTCTTCTCGGGCTATGGTTTCTGCGTTTACTTGGATAGGAATTGGATATAACAAGCAGAGCAGAAGCAAACGTTTTAACGAGATGGATTGTTTCGCCATGCAGAAGGGAAATCTGCTCGCCATGGGTTAGCAGGTCGAAAAAATTTTTCAGTGATAGCACCACGAGAGACAAACGAAAATGTTTCCCTGTCCACTTTTGTAACTGTTCTAAAATGGGATTTTGTAGTATTTTTTAGTTCTTTCGGTTGGTTAACTGAAACCAACGTCATTTTGTGCTCTTTTCTTTATTATCAGGGTGACAGTCAAACCATCGATTAATTTGATGGATGGAACAATGTGGGTTTCCGCGCGTCATTCTTTAGACTTTTGCGATGTACCGCGATATACCTATAAAGCTAGGTATACACAATTCTTTCTATGATCAACCAACGCCTGTTTTCGAATGTGAAATGGAAAAACGAAATTCCCGAAGAAATGGCAGAAATGATATTACTGATCGTTGGTTTGGCTAACCCATAAAAGGTCATGTAGTGAGAAGAAGGTCAGTTCTTCTTCTTCTTCGACTCACCGACAGTAGTGGATCGACTACACGGTAAACCTATGTAAGCATCAGCAGACATGCTTTTGAAGGATAATTATTTTTGGAAGGCTTAAGTGATCGGTAAGCAAAATCCACATGCTTTTGCGCAGTGCTTTTGAGCAAGGGACTCATACTTCGGGCTTTTGTAGCCTCTCTCTGCTTGCTCGATGTTCGGCGTTATAAGAACGATGTCGTCAGCAAAACGAAGGTGGTGTAGTTGCCGGCCGTCGACCTTCACTCCCATGTCTTCCCATTCCAGTTGACGCATGACGTTCTCGAGAGCGGCGCTGAAGAGTTTGGGCGAGATGGTGTCGCCCTGTCGAACCCCTCTCTTGACGTCGATGATGACCTCCTTGTAGAATGGTGAGATTCTGGTCGTAAAGTTGCTGTAGAGCTCACGAAGAATCTTGATGTACTGAGTAGGGACGCCCTGGTTGCCCGAGGATTTCGATGACCGCTCCTGTCCCACAGAGTCAAGTATCGCGGTTTCGCGATCTTTAATATTGATAAAAGGTTGAAAAAAGACGAGTAATAGCAAAAAAAGGGCGCCACTTCAAAGGGTCTCGGGGTGCCGGATCAGGACGGTCCTGAGCGGAAAAGGTGTTTGAGCGGGATTCGGCATCCCAAGCCCAAAATTAAATCAAAATAACCATTTCGTCGTTTTTCATTTCTTCTTGATTGTGTTTTTCATGTTATAGTTTTTCGTTTCTCTATACAGAGCTAGTGCACGCATAATTTTTATAAGAAGCCTGTCTGCTTGAGGCTCATTGGTGTGATTTTTACGTGCGCATAGGACGTTCAAAGAAAGCCCGTCTATTTAGGGCCCACTGATGACGGTTTCTGTTGTTTTACATCAAGTAGTTTCTT